TTTTGTTAGAACAAATTTCTTATCTGTGAAAATGTTATTATTGCTTCATAATAACCTCAAGACCTATGGGCCAAAGTAGTGGCAGACCGAGAAAGCGATGGCGTGATGAACTGGACGCCTACGACAAGGCTTGGGTCCAGTTAGCTCAAGATCGGGATGCGTAGAGGGATCAAGAGGAGGCCTTTGCCCAGCAGTGGAATACATCAGGCTAATTGTAATTGTATTAATTGTATTGTAATTGTAATAACATCAAATTCGATTTTATTATTACATTCAAATTTCGAACATCTCTGAAAAACAAAACAATTTGATTCGACCTCAATTCTAATATCGGTCGAGATGAAGTTTTATTCGAAATGAAATGACAATAGCAAACAATTTTCACTTTTTTTTAATTTATATTTTTTTGAGACATAATTTTTTTGCACCATTTTACAAATAATCAATGCCGCAATGCCGGTCGTAACATTTTTTTCCTGTTTAGTTCCTGAACACGTCAAAGAGAACTTATAATATGTGTATAGATAAAGTAATATACGTAACTATATATAATTAGGCATTGAAACACTGTGCTATAAATTCAAATAGTATAAGGAAAATTTGGGCTACGACTAGGCTTCCCGCGGTCCTTGGGTACACGGGCCGCGTCACGCGAATTCAGCGCCTATGCGCCGCCCGTGGGAAGAGTTCCGCCTGTGTCAGCGTGGGCTCGCATGTATGGACCCGTGGCGCCAGCATGCCCATACAAATTAGCCGTGGGTAGCTGTCTTCTGAGCGTAATCATCATCATTAACCCATCGCAGTTCACTGCTGTATATAGGCCTCTCTCAATGCGCGCCATTTCTTCTTTCCTCGTCTTGTCGCAGCAATCTGTTGCCAGCAGCCTTGCGCAAATGGTCATTCCATCTGGTCCAGAGAGCGTCCTCCACTACGTTTGCAGAGTCGTGATCTCCACTCAAGAACTCGCTTCCACAATAGGTTATCGGTTTTTCAACAGATATGGCTACACCACTGCCCCTTCAGCTTGCTTATTCTGCCAGCTATGTCGACGACTTTGGTTCTCTCGTCTCGGCTCCGTATGTACTCACTCATTGTTTTCAAAGAAATGTGTCTTATAAATGAGCAGTAGAGTTTAATCAACGTGATTATTTCAAGTGTAATTTTCTAGTCTATAAAATAAAAAAAGGTGTTTGGGGCCTTTGTACAGAATCCACTTGGGTTCATTACGTTTGTTTTGCATTGAAAGGGCATGAAAACCTGTGTTATTACAGGCAAAGGAAATGTTTTGTACTAAGACTGGCAAGCGATCGATGTTAAGGGGTACTTTCTTAGAATCGTAAATTCGGAAGTATTTGATAAAAGGTGTCAAATGTTTGTACATAATAATATTGATGCGAAAGAGTATGATAATAATAATAATCATGCGCCAGATAATAACACCATCTACTTGGTTTCAAGTGAGGATTCCATATATAAGAACACCCACAATAGAATCTATTTAGAAGTATTCATTTTGGGAATTGGTCCTATCACTGAGACCGTCAGATATATAAAATGAAGAAAGGGAGAATCAACATGGTAATTATTGCTTTTAATTTTATTATGGCATTAGTCTTAAAGACAGAATACCGACCAGTGTAGTAAGAGGAAGTTGTGATATGAACGATGATGTAATGACCAGGATAGAGATGCTGCGATGGTTTGGTCATGAAGAAAGAATGAATGTTGGTAGATTCGGTCAGAATCCATGGAGCGAATATGGATAGAGGTGCGGGGAGAGGTAAATCTCGGCATATATATCTCGATCAGATTGGAGCTGTCCTTAAAAATGGCCGCGAAGTTCTACGAGCTTTGCGTCGGAGATTAAATATGGTTCTATTACTTCAGTAATTTTTGTGGGCGTGCGCACAAAACCTTCATGAAAGTGTTATTGCAATCAGAATGATAATAATGGAACGCTTGTGGGACAAACACCTTCCAGCGGTCGCGCGCGGTCTCAGAGACCGCAACGATCTTATTTTAGTCGTTTTACAAAAACTATAAACAATAAACGGTTGCGCGACCGTGATATCCTCGAGGGGCGAGGTACTTGCCCTTAGTAGCCCCGTGACATTCGTCGCAAGCGCACATGTGTCTTTATTTGTGTTTGCGGTCTCACATGTTCCAGAAAAATTCATGGAATGAAATTGAAATCTGGGTGAGTATTTCATGTTATTTGTACTATATTACTTACAAAATTACATTATTTTATGTTATATATATCAAATTATTTATCATTTCACTATTTGTTTTAGACACAACATGAGTTACGAAGAATCAGAAGGGCTTGCAGAGGAGGCGGAAATAGAAGATGAAGATTTTGATGACGTCAAGCCATTGCTACTGATAATGAGTAGGTTATCGTAGTACCTGCTCCTAAAAAAAGTTAGAAGTTTTCCTTTTTTATTTTATAAGAATTGAGATAGTGCGTAGAACATCATGAAAAAAACATTCAAAAGTAATTGTGATTTTAGAGTTCCTACAATATTGTACAATTGATGACAATATTGATTGATCTCGATAATAGTCTATTATAGTGTGCTTATGAACGATTAAGATAAAAAAATTCATCTTGTTTTGTTATTTTGTTGATTTTTAACGTTGTTTGTGTCATATGACTAAAATTTAATAAAAGACTTTTTTTATCATGTGCTACACAACGTCATGAAACTATTCATTTGTCTTCTCAAACTGAACTCGTAAAGTTGCGGTCTCACAGACCGCACGCGACTGCTTATGTTCTGTGCAAGGGTGCGATCACTGGAAGGTTAAAAAAAATTATAGAGACACAGTTCAATGTGTGTATAACCCTTCAGGTTACTTTTGTATTTGACAGTTGCATGTTGTGCGAATCTTTGATGTGAAATTTTAATGCTTGTGTACATTGACTTAGAAATAAATGGACGACGGGTCTAATACAAAAACTACGAAAAAAATGTCCCAAGTCAACCTATTTTAACGTAGTGACATGTAAAGGAATATGAAAAAGCTAAAAAGTTGAATTTAAATTGTAATGTCATCGCAGTACTGTCTAATTTTGCTTGCTTCGCTGTCAGTCGAACAAACGAAGACTAAAGCGTGAATGACGCTCTGTATATGATTTTAACGCCCTATAAGTTCGGACACTTTTTAGCGCGGATCCGACGTCCATATAATTGTAAGTCAATGCTTGTGTAGTACATTTGTATTGAATACTCACAATTTGCTTTTTGTTTATATCAAATAAATCATTCGTATTAGTTAATAGTCAAGGCTTTACTTAGTTACAGAACCCCCTAACGCACTTTATATAGCATTACACCACAGGTCATCAACCTACGAGTAAAATAATAAACGCATAATGATTTGAACCGTCGAAATACATCAATTCAATTCATTCCATAAATTAAATTGCTTTAATCAAAGCATGCAATATCATAGCCGTAATTGTTGCTTCGTGTCACGAAGCTTTGATCTTTGAATATTGTGTTGTAATTTACACGTTAAGCTGTTACTTGGCCTGTTGCCGAAGATATATGAGTTCACTACCTGGAATATTATTCCATATTGTTATATGGTATTATATTGTGGTTGGAAATTTGTAATGTCACGATTTAGAGTATTTAGTTACACGTGATACAAACGCGCGACTGCATCGATACAAACGCGCGATTGTTTTTTTTTTTATAATACCAAGTCATGTGACGAACAAGTCGTGTGCCTGATGCCTCTCAATGCTTTAAATCGCAAAGATCTGAGGGGCACTGCCACTGCGCCCGTCACCCTGAGACATAAGTTGACAAGTTCCATGTGCTTGTAATAATGACATTACTGCTTTAAGACTTTCGTGGTTATTCACTAAATGATTATCACTAGTATCGTTTCTTACCACGGTATGACTTCTTTTTATTTTCCCGATATTTCGGAACGGTTGCACGCTCCATGGTCACGGGTTGTCTGGACGGCGGCAGATGACAGCTTTAAGAGCAGACATATCTGTCTACCCTCTTGCACTGTCGACGACTACCTTCATCGCGATTCGCGATAATCATTTGAATGTTATTAGTCATAGAAACACCAATATGACAATGTAAACACTTTAATTAAAATTAAAAACAACTCCAAAAATACAATGGAGTCGCCATCTGTAAGCCTATTCGTTGAGTCCAATAAATTCAATGAGCTCATGAACGATATTTGTTATTTTTTTCCGGATTTCATCGCGTATATTTGTTTTTTCAAACAAAACTATTCATTTCCTATGTGTAACAATTGCGAAAACTCGATAGTTTTGCTGTAAGCAGTTAAAAAGTTGGATATTGTGCAGAATAGTAATAGTAAGTAATCCTAGCGGGTTTACATAACAATTTGTTAAGGGACAATAATATGATCGCTACTAATATAAACCAGAATATGAAACACAACGAATTCAAAGTACTGTTTCAAAACAACGGTAATAAAACCATTTTTGCCGGATTAAAATCGCGTGTATTTGTGTTTTTCGAACAAACCAACGTTTCGGACCCTTGACTGAGTCAACTGTGACCATAGGACCTGTAAAAGGCCGGTAACGTTGGCGTGTTTGAAAAAACAAATATACGCGATTTACATCCGGAAAAATAGTTTCATTACCTATGAGTAACAATAGCAAAAACCTAAGAACTCGATAAAAACAACGATATCTAACAAAAATTAAAGTTACCATCTCTTATATATAATTCCTTTCTATTGCAAAATTCATATAACAAAGAAAAATCTCAGTCGGCTAGTTAACGTTTCATCGTTTGTAACACTTTTCAGATTTGTGGGTAGAGTTTCGAAAACTCGGAGCCCGAGTAATATACAATAACATATTTATGAACGCATTTTGTATTGTATGTTGACTCTGGTGTGACTTGGGAGAAATTTGTGTCCAGTGAGTCAACTTAGCTGAGCTTATCTTTCAAAATTGTAAAAGATGTTATAAGGAATCAATTACTTACCCAAAATTCCTAGTCGGTAATTGATGGTGACAACGACAAGGCCAGCGTGAGAGGCGAGTACTGCCCCATCGTATGGGTTCCCTGAACTCCATTCGTAACTCTCTCCGTGCACGAAGACTAAGACCGGGTATCTCGCCACTGCATCTCGAACTCCTGCTGTAAAAGGTAACAAGTATTGGTAGGTTACATTTAACATCCTAATATTACTATAGAATTAATTACAATATGCCACACCAATGATGAGGGTTTCGCGAAAGCATAAACTGAGAAAAGTTAGAAGTATCCAGATATGGCCCACTAAATTATCGAAATGTGGGATGGGGCCTCCACATTGAAATAATCCCGATCGTTTTGTCCGCAACGGGATAGTTCCAGCCAACTTTGCTAACGACTTGAAGCAGTCAGTTGTCTGTGGCGTGTTGCTTCCAGGCCGGTTCTTGAGTATGACTCTGACCGCGGCTGTATGACCGTATTGTTACCAGGAAATACCGCGGAAGATATCTTATATCAAATAAAGACTAATAATGTTAAATTTCGTAACTTTCGTGAGCTTAGTACGTTATGCCTCCAGCCTTTCAGACGAGTCTTAAATATAAACACTTCAACTGTTGTTGCAAAGATATTAGGTTATTGAATGAAAGCATTAAGATATTGAAATATACTGGAGGTAACATCGTCAATTAGTGCAACAAATTAAATATAGAGCAACGTACAGACATGTTCATTTTTTGTGATAGAATATCTTCAAGACAAAATAATTCCTATAAAACTGTATTCCTGGAAAACAGAAAAGTCATCGAAATAAGAAACAAAGTAACTGAAACGGGTATTGTAACTATACTAAAACTGATATTAGGCTTTATTAGAAAAGTAATATGTTAGCTGGAGGTCTATCGATTTGGTAAAAGAGTACTGTCGATATATTATTTTTACGATCGCCTGGGAACCAATAATGAACGCTAAAATGAGGGCACAAGGGCTGTTAATAAATTTGCTGCAGAATTTGAACGGTCATGTGAATATGGTAATTGAGGCGAAACAACGTTGCAATAATAGCACGAGGTTAGATAATGTTTACTTATTGGATTTGAAACAAATGGAAAAATAAGCTCACACAACACCTATATTGCTTTTTAAGTGATTAAATGTCATACAATACCAAATACTAATTATGAATACAGGAAAAAACAAAAATAAAATAAAGGATAACAAAATTCAAGACATAAAAAGTACCAAAGAGCCGATTAAAAATAAAATATAATAATGAAATACTGAAAAAAAAAGAATACGGAATATCTTGGCAGACATCAAAAGGAAAGTTAAAAGGAAACCGATACATTTCTTGATACTGCTCCCTTTGGGTCGATCATTAACGTCAGTACAGATGGTTTTAATTTCCAAGAAGTAAATTCAAAGCTTCAAACAATATAATGGACACAAAAGGCGTTTTGTCGTATAAAAATATAAGGAAAATACAGAGGTATTTGAAATTTTGAAATCATCACTTGACATTGACAGAAAAATGTGACTACTTTCTCTAATTGTGGAACAAAAACCGATTAATTGTATTAAATAATTTGTGTGCTTTTTGGCAGACTAGTCAAATATTTGAAAGGAAAAAAGAAATTACAAGGCGCCATTTTATGGGAAAAATAAAACCGTCTTTAGACTTATCTCTATTATCAGTATAAAATAGCGCCATCTAACATACGAGGCGTGGACCACGATACTAAGATTTATTTGCCGGTATGTAAAATGACATTTGCAGAGTTGCCAGTGTTCGTGAAATTTTGAATAGTCATGTAGTTATCGACGACGGTTTTATCGATAGATTGTGAAAAAAAAAATTACAATTTTGCTAAAAATATCTGAATTGTGAGTGTTACGAAGTTCTAACTGCCTTCTTCATTTTAATTTTTACAATTGGCCTACTAGTATCGAAATTAATTTTCATTCATATACATCTTTAAAGAAACAGACGGATTTGATTATCTATATTGAATTAAAATGATAAACTTTAAAATATGTCTCTTGTTTGTAAGTTTAATAGAGACAGTTCTAAATGCAGTGTCTGTATGTGGGAACTGACAAAAATTGAGATTTCAAATGACCTGTGCACCGCAGTTGGACGAATAATGGGGCGATGATATTTCAATACTACAAATTCCGCCAGATGTCGTTAACTGTGATGATAGAGCATATTATTATTAACATTTATTTCCACCCAAAGTAAAGTCAAGACAGTGAAAGTACACAGGGATAATCGTAAGCAACCATTATGTCGCATTTAGAGCAACTTCGATGTTCCACAACGTACCAGCATCTTAAATGAATTAGGCTATCTGGCCACCCTAAGTTAGAGGCACTCGAGAAGGGCCTTTCATAAACAGGCCCGGAACACTCTGGGCTATCTCTTTGCAAATCTGCCGGTAATGAGGGTTACGAGAGAGACGGATATACGTCGTCGCCGCTGCTTTAAAGTAGGTTTTAATAGGTTTGACAAAAGCGTTGGGATTTCTATCCGAAAAAAAATTTTTTTTGATCTTTGTGTATATACTTGACTACAAATTGTGAGTGATGATAATAAAAAATGTTAATCTATTATTCATTTATTTAAATTTAACTTTTATTAGGTTTTAAACTAGTCTTTTTAAAATGTTGGGTACCTGTAATCGAAACATATAATATAATTAAGTTTATAAATGTAAACTGAATTATTTAAATTTAAGGCAGCCCTGATCAATTTTGATGAAAAATGAATAATAATAATAAATCATATAATTCGACCAACATGTATCATAACATTACGAGTACAAAGATTTAATACAATTAAACTCATAAATTAAATAATGGTTTTTCTAATGGAATTTGTTTCTAAATACTCCAATATGACATAACTTGTGGTTGAATCCACAATCGGAAATATTTTCAATTGTTTTTTATTTATTTCTAACGTAACGGAATTTGCATTCGTATACGTGTCCGCAATCCATTTCGCATCACTAGCAAGAAGTGGGTCAGGATCGTTGGGAGAAATTCATGGGTGCCTGGGAAATTCATATCGCCTTGGAATGTTTTTGCCTTCCTCCTTAAGAAAGGATGTCTTCTTCTAGCTAACGCGCTATTCCTTTACTTTTTAGTAGGCTGTCGCGAGCGTGTTTGCAATTTGGATTCGGTTTCGAGGTATTCCTTGTCTTATACACGAACTTCTTACATTATTAGCATTACTTCATCTAAATTTCATTCTGATTTTAAATCTTTGTAATTGGAACGCAGAATTAACATTTGGTACGACATATTTATTTCAATATTTTTAATGGAACATGGAAATGTAAAAGTGTTGCAATAAATTCTTTTGTCGACAAAATCGTCGAACTTATTTTTCACTGTTGAAACTTTATGAACCCAGATAAAATATTTCTTGCAATATGACACACTTCCTTACCTAATTCTGCAAAATAGTTTGATTTGCATATTGCATTCGTGGCGTGTGCCCGAAACCGAAACGAAATTGTATTTTGGTAAGCATTCCGTGAGAGTCTGGTTGGAACCCGGTACCGCGGTTACCGCAGGTGTCGCGTGGTAGTTCATTTCAATTTTAAATATTTTTTATTTGTATATCTATTTAAAGTTGCGGTCTCATTATTTTTACTTAGTACGATTATAATCAACTTCTTTATTAATAATGTTTCCAAAATCAGCAACATTTCTGCTTTTTATTATTTTAGGTTATGTTCTTGGCTATATTGATTTTCAATAGATGATTCTCTTCTACTGAGTTATTCGACTAGGTACGTAACATTTGTGGAATGTGATAATCAGTTTACGATAAATTGCAATAAGGCACATTTTTGTCAAAGTCCATCACTAACCAATATTCATTTGCACCGTCCATATATTATCAGTTGAATAACCCATGGGATCAACTTCCAATGCCTTGTAATAATTATACAGTAAATTCAATAAATTATGGGATGAATATTAATTTACTGCCTTTGTTATTAGAAGTTTTGTTATTGCGATCACCGATATTTTTAATGTAAAGTTTGGTTTAACTATTTCTCTATTACACTTAAGTGTATCCCCAGTATTTTTTCTTTCATCTTTTTATATGACGTTTATCTGACTTTTCCTTTGATTTGGGCAAAGTAACTTATTCTCGGTCGTCTTCGTTTACGTTGGTCCACGCTTGTATTCTTACGGGAGTTCACTAAATATGCAGTTGACTAAAATATGTAATGGTTTTTTATCATATTACATCACATTATATCATTACCTACATTTATATCATTTTTTATCATGTATCATTAAAAAACTACTTATTTCAAAACGTTCTATGTTAACGTCTGATTATCAGCTTTTGTTAAAGTTTTTATTTCTTTTTGATATTTGTAATTATTATCTGTGCAATTGCTAGTTAAAATAGCGTTGCATCTTTTCTTCCTTCTTCTTACACTCATTTATTTATTTAATTGCATCATCATAATAGCACAGAGAAATGAGTCTCGTACAAACATAAAACATGTTAGAGTGTTGCAATTTCTAATTATAATTAATCTTATTGACTACTCTAATGTTGATCAAGTTAAACTCTTACTTTTCTTTTGATTTAGTCAAAATGACTTGTACTGTTCCGGACTATACTCCATTATAAATATAGATAATCCTCATTCAAGCTTCAATCAGGTTTTTTAATCGTCGAAATAGTAATATCATATAAGATGACCCGTCATACCAAAAAGGGATCCTTTAGGCTTCAACATCGACCACTCTGTATCTAGCCTTAACTATACTCCTTACACCATAACTAATTTAATATTAATTGAAATTTTATTTTAGTCACGTTTTATTGAATTTAGAAACTCTTGCCCTTTTATTAAATATCGTATTTCGAAACTTTTGAAAGGTTTCTTTTAATTTTATGAAATTTTATTTATAGATTTTATTATAGATTTTACTCTTTTTATTTATAACATTTTTACTACCATATTAATCACATTCGGGTGGTAATTATTATTTATTGATGAATATTATACAAGTTCAATGAGTTCAGACTGCTTATAAACAAAAGTAACTAGTATTTTTAGCTGTAAATTTTTGGCGATGCAAAAAAAACATACCAACGTAACTTTTTCAGTATTATTTACATTTAACTTTGGTGCAAATTCATTGTTCGTATTTAGTGTGTTCTTACTTATATAGATATTGGCAAAATGACCTTCTTCTTTTCTTTCGTCTTAAAAATAATCTACAGAACCTCTCTCCGCGACACTATCTGTTAAACGTGATGGATCGCGTTCCGAGCGTAAATCAAGTATGGATCTATAAATCTAAAGGCTTTGCTATCGGCGCCTGTCAACTGCTCTGTTGTGGTCGGATTATCTTATAGCCTCTAAAATATGAAATCCCTTTATGTTTATGGATGTGATGAAAATTTGTTTGTCCGCCACGGTCAATAAATGTGTCCGCGTGGTTTAATTTTCATTTGTTACTCAATGCTGCTATGTTATTAAACATCACCAAAAAAGCACCGAAAGTATTTTTTTTATATAAGTTCTCCTTATCATGGTATTTTCAATATTTAATATTATATGGATTTGATTAATATTGTCAGGCAAGTTAAAGGTAAAGAAACTGAAAAGTTAAAAAAATTGATCCAAGAAAACGATACGATCAAAAAGGAATAAAAAAATTGTGCAAGAAAATTCGATGATCATCTAAAAGGACATAAAATAAGGCTTTCAATAACAAAGTAACTTTGAAATAGATTTTGAATTAAAGTCGGCAGATGAAAAATTAAGGTCATAAATGAAAATGATGAAGTTTTCGAGTAAACTTTATAATATTTTTACAACTTCCAAAGAATCTACTTTTTATAATTTAATTAACTTCTTTTGTATCTGCAAAATGAACGAAGTGGTTTTATACACAATGGAAGGAACTACATAATATGGTTCTCGTATAACTTGGTTTAGTTCTTAAAGTCAAGATGTAAATACGTACTTCCCTGGAACTCCCAAATTCTTACGTACAACAAACAGACATACGGTTTTGACCCAAATTTTTCGATCTACAAAAAGGTTAATAATCCAAATAGCGTCACAGTTAAACATTTAACTGAAATAACACCGTATTCTCATTCCGCAGTCTTGTTTAAATCAGCATGAAGCAAAATTTATGCGCTACAATCGAAATTGCACACATATATCTGATGTAGGCATATACTGAAACTGGGGCAGTGGGTATCAACATTTCAGTGCCAAATATTGGAATACCAAATTCTGGCTTTGGAACGGTGAAATACTAGTTCTAGGGCAAAATTTATGTAAATATGTTGATACCTGTAAGGTACACAAATACATACACTGTGTAGAAAGCTTGCATGTCGATATTTGGACCCTTCTAAAATGAGTGAAGTCCCTGACAATGGACTTTAAATTTTATTTTTATGCAGCAGTACATAGTACAGTCACAGTACGTTTACTTTTATACAGTAGTAGTGTTCGGAATATCACTGTATGACATCGTAAATTTGTGCCCTGTTGGCCGATTTAGGAGTAACATTTCTATCAAAATTTGACAATTTATATAAATCTAGCTGCTTGCTATATTATTATTTGCTTGTGGAACTTCAAAACTATTTATTCTAATCGATGTTTTGCATTACCTACATGTTTTGTGACTGCGTTCCTCACTTTTTACAAAGGCAAACAAAATGTGATAAAGACAATAACTGAGCACTGGAACTAAATACTTTTCTTTTATTCTGAACGACTATGCATAAACCACGTCTGTATATTTCGGTATGACGAAATTCTTGCCAAACAAAGAAAACCCCCTAAAAACGTCATATTAAAAGCGACGACGAAAAACGTGGATGTGTAAGCTTGGTGACGTTGGCGGACTTGTTTTTTTGCTTCAGCTTTTGTCACGAACGTGTGTAGAGACGTAATACTCTATCTCGTGTGCTTTTTTTGGTGTTTGGTTTGAGACATTAGCGAAACTGCTATAAAGTTCCATGATCTGCATAAAAGAGTTTGACAAACAATACAGCTATTTGAATTCTCAGCTCATCGGTATGTAATATATTTTTGAATTTGGCCATTTTCCCCTTTTAAAAGAGTACACTACTTGACTATTATGAAAAGATACGTGTGTTAGTGTGGGAGTACTTCAAGCTTGAATAAAATTAGGCGAGTTTATTTCTTCATTTTGTATTATACCAAAAATTGTATTCGTGGTTTTCGAAAAAAAATAATTAAATATTTCATTAAAACATTCACTGCAAGTGTCTATGGTCAAGTCTACAACTTTTATTGGAACAACCTCCGGGTAGAATTCACAAAAGTGTTTAAATAGTACGTATAGCTAGCTATATATATATATATCTCTATATTTATCAATCTCTTTCTATTTTGGTACTAAATAAATCATCTTTCTATCACTTGTACTATACTATAATCCTCAGGAAGGATTTCGGGAGTCTGTCTCCAGAATAGCCCTCTGGCTTTTAATAACCGCAAATGACGCGACGCCTCTCCCGAATTTTTCGTTTACATAAGTACCCTTCAAATAAAAGCTTTGCCATTTGCATCGCCGATTCTGGGAATAGCTTATTTGAGTGTGGTATCGGTTGTCTGAGTGAGTTTTAAATGGTCGCAAATTTGGGGACATATTTTTGAAATAGTACTTAGTAAGTATCTACTTACAATTAAATTCTTGTTTCTTATACAACATTAATAGTCCAAATTGTTGTTCGTGACGTTGACTGATCTTGATGGAGGAGAACTTAATACAAGCTAACAGGTATCAAATATAAATTCAGCTTAAAATATAATCTTTTAAATTCAGAATGAAACTCATTTCATAATATGAACCGCATATGATTTTAAAATTAGCGTAAGCAATTTCCAACACTGAAAACGATTCACTTAGAGATATTAAAATTATAAATTAAAACACTTTGATCCTTTTTCCGTCCGGATAAATTTTCATTCTCATTTCCCTTTGTTTATGTTAAAGGTAACGAAAAGGTAAAAACGCCCAGTTACATCATTAATGATTTCCCTTGCCCTAAATTTGCCTTAACTTTTTTTAATAAAACGCAATCATTTATTTTTAATTTCGCCTCTTCCCATTCATATTCTTTCGTCCGGGTCCCAACGGTGAAATGAATGTGATTTTTCTCACCAAGGACAAAAACTGTTTCTGAATTAGCCTGGTGGACAGGGTTGGCAAATTGTTATTATATAATAACGAGGATAACTGGATTTATTTAGACAAAGTTATCAACGTTATTGCATTTAGAGGTAAAAAAAAGGCAAACGAGGTATATCTATAACTATTCATTTATAGAGCAGTGACGCTGTTAGATGCATAGTTAGATATTGCACTAAGACAAAGTTACAGATAAGTTCAAAAAACTTAACACCAAGCAAAAAAACCCGTAGGTAACGGAAACAGAAGTGGACATAACTGTTTTATGTAATTGTTAAAAGCTTTATGACACGAAAATACACAACGTTCATATAATTAATATTGAATTGAAAATTTTTAAATAATTTGACATTTTAACATGACACTTTTCAACTTCAAATTTTTCTTTCTAAGTTCCAACCCTGCGGGCCGGACAAAGGCCCTTTCCGACAAAAATTATAAATCAACTTTTTTGAGGTCCCCTCTGTTAAAACTGCGACTTTTTGCTTTGAGCCGTGTTTCAAGTATGTTCTTGTCTCGTATTTGTTCAAATCTGGTTGAATTTCCGGCCTGATATTTGAATTTAAAATTGTAGCAACCTTCATTTATTCTGCATAGGGAAACCAGTGAATTTAATGCAATTATCTTTTTAAAAACGCTACTAAACTCTTGGTCAAATCAGTGGAACTTACAACATCGTACAAGAAAGTAACGTTAAAGGCTTTGGAATAGATAACTCTTACATTAGCCACGAAGTTAATATTGTAAAGTAATATAAAAAGTTTGAATAGTTACCTTGAGCAGGCGCGTAGATGTTCAAATACAAACAATCTTCCGACTGATTTGTCAAGAACGGCAGTATTCGCTTCAAGTATTCCAAACGTCCTTTGGATATTCGTTTCAATACTGCTGTTTCATTCCTTATATCTGGAAGCACTTGAGGACAGACTGGGCTGAATTCTTCAGCTATCTTCACACCTGACCACTGGGCACCGGAGACGGGAGGCATAAAGCGTAAACTACCCATAGGAGGCGACGCGTAAGGGACCCCGCGAAACACCTCAACGGGTTCAAGATACCTTGACTCAGGCGTTACTATAAAACCTCTTATATCACCATATTTAGTTCTAACTACGCGACTACTTATGAACGGTGGCGCGGATTTTTCATCCATCGTCGTATCGCCTCTGACCATCCTCGACGTCAGTACAGGAAGCGTGATAAAGTACGTAAATGTCAGAATGAACATTTTTCCGCTTCCAACGCCACCGTTCAAGATACTGTGAAGTGCCCGGTGCTATAAGTCGACCATTTTGGGAGGATCGATTTCTCCGTCGGACCATTTACTGGGTTATCTGCAACAATAAATAGCCGGATATTAGTAACGTTTCCGGAGAAGAAATTGGAGGTAGTTAACGTTAATAATCCTATGGCTATCTTGATTACGTCCAATGTTTCTGAAGCATAAATACATTATCTGAGTTGTGAGCTTGTACGTGAACCATACTTTTGTAAATCTATATGCAAACGAAGAACAAACATTACTTTATATTTAATTATTTCAGTCAATCTATTATATTTACGTACCACTGAGCAGAGAGCTAGTCTAAATAGAGGGTTTATTATTTGTAACATGACAAAGAAGACAGTATATTTTTCTTCCCATATAACATTTTTAGTTTAAAATCCTTTTGTTGAAATGCAGAAACACCTTTTGGTAATACTCTGACCCTACATTGACAAATGTGAAAAAGATATCGTCTATCGTCCCAAAAAATTACCCTCACGTTTGAAAGAGATCCCTATTTCAATATGACCAACCCATTTTCGTCCCATAATCGTAAGACTAGTGTTATACGAGGTACAATTTGCATCCTATTACCATAACAAATGAAAGGTAGTTCGACTCAGGATATTCGTGTCACGGACCCGTCCGTTATTAGAACATGTCCAATCAAAACTGTGCACGTATATTCAATTAGGTAATTGAATATGTTTGGGTATTCACTATTCCGGAGCAGTATATTTATGGGTAATCGGTTTGTGTCAGGTTTTAAATATGAGTGAACGTTTCTCGAAATCTGAAAGCAATAGTCGATGTTAGAAGTTATACTATTTATTGGATTTCAAATCGCGTACATTTAATATCGTTTTCTCAAACGAACACCGCCGTAGAGTTGCCAGCTTATCTGTATTCTACAGGATATATCACGGAGAGTATACGATGGGATTGCATAATTTGATTCCGCCTTTCCTTTTCCATCATCGGAAGACTGGACGTGGGCAGGGGTTCCACCCCTATGTTGTGGATATACCCTGAATTCGCGCGAAGCGCTTCGCTTCCACATTTGCTGCAGACTAGTTCCCCGAATGCTATAACTTGGACCTTTTCAAGGCGAGAGTGGATAGGCATTATTTATGTGTGCATGCTACATTCTCGACCACATCGTCACTTTTCATCAGGTGAGATGGAGGTCAAATGCGCACTTATTTTTTTATATAAAAAAAAAACAAAAGGTTTCAAGCTATTTATAATAAATGCGATTCTAAATATCGCAAAAAAATAGTTTCATTTTGAATATGTAGCAATAGCGAAAACTTAAGAACTCGATATGTTTATTCTTGACTTCGAAAATACAAAATAAACTAGTACAATGTCTTCCACACCAATCAATTTCGAAAATATACATCGCATCTAAATGGATGACCACAATACAAATAATTTTTTAAGTAATATAATGTACATAGTCGGCCCTATGAATTGAAAATTCCATTGAGTGTGCCAATGTGCGTAACATTGCGTTGTTAGCTATCACGTGTGCAATATTTTGTTTTAGAAGGACCTATATGCAAGACTACGCACCTATACGAAAAGTTACGTATCTACAGGATCTCGAGTAATTAAAATTCATTAGCTAACTCGCTTACTCATATTTTCATAAATTATTTTCCCTGCACTACCTTTCATGCTTAAGTAAGCACTCAGTTGGCACAAGAAGATAGGGCTACGCATTTTTTATGTGTGTGTACAAAATGGGCAGTTTTCGTCGAATTCGTAAATGTAGTTAAAATACGACAACTAAAGTTTCGTAAGGATTTTGTTAGACATATTTTGTTAATGAATAATTTTGACAGGTCTTTTCATTAAATTGCATTACTGGCTCTATAATTTACCCATTATCGTCTAAGTCGACAGATGCACCACTCATACAACCATCGTTTGCTAATGAGGGCAACGCTGCGTTATTATCACTGTTATTTTTCAGATCTTCAACCGCATCTTCTTTTATCCAATCAGAAATTTCTGGTTATTTAAATAAACTATTACTTACTACTAAAAAGGAAGTTCCGTTTTTACACCTTATTTATGTCCAATCAATTTTTTTTAATTTGTGTTCCGATTGTACTGGAGGGTTTGCATTTTTGATCTGATTGCATTTGTTGAAAAAAAATTAATATCCTCATTGCCACGGAACAAATTTAATATTCGTTTCAAACCATCTTCAAATATCTATGATTGTCGTAACTTGAAAACAATAAATTGAACACACTTTTATTTTGTATTTTATTTTGGGCGTCGAAGAATACTAAAAAGTACACAATTCATTACGTCAAATAGATTAGATTTCCATTACATAATTTGGAAAATGTATTGCGTAGTATTGCATAGTTGACCTAGATCATGGCTACGCGATATTGCATATTTGATATTTAAGGCGACATCATTTTTTCAAATTATATCTCAGAAAAGTTTCTGGTTCTTCTGTATGTTGAAATTCCACTTTGTCATAACTTTCGCATCGCAAACAAATTAGTATTTCCATATCGTCGACGTAACAAATGGAAAAGTTATTACCCGTATACATTTTCTCACCAGAATCACATATGGCAAGGGTCCAAATTTTAAGGAGAATGCTCCCTCTTATCGAGTCCCGAGTTATTGGTGTAATAAATTCGATGCAGATAAACATACAAATTCTCGTAAAAACGTCCCAGACCAAATGGTTTCCTGTATCGAAGACATAAAAGTTGAGGATAGTAGGATCATTGAACAAACAAGAAGGAATAAAACTGATGAAGTGGTGATTGTTAGAACGGTTGAAATGGCCATTATAGTTTCTTTTAAAGCTTGAAATCGTTTTTATAGTGAATTTATAAAACATCGTTGAAGAAATGTGAGTGACATGGATTTAGGTGACACAATAATATAAGGAATTAAAAAACATTTCAGTTACATAAAAAACAAGAAAAGCGCGGAAAATTATTTTCTTTTCATTTCGAATAACGACATTTAAAATAAATAGATCTAAGCAGTCACTACATGCATGTATTATTACTTAGGAACATAGTTTTTGAAATATCGAAATACGAGTGCTTTACAACAGTGCAATTAAATACCGACTAACGAACAGGGTAATTAACATAATCACAGCTGCAAATAAACCTGAACACTTTACTGAAACGTTAAAACACATTAAAGCGCAAATGCTAAGTAGACCTCGTTATTTTGCTACCGACATAGCTAGAAATTTGCTTGACAGTCCAAACAGCAGTCATTAGCAAGTTAACAATTGTAGCTCGTGCTTTGAGTTGAAAATTAAAATCCACTCAGTGTTATGTTTACTGTTTTAATTATAGACCAAGACCAGATAGGCGCTTTCGTACATAGAAAATCATCGTCCTCTGTGTTGTGTTGTTATTGCTTATTTTACAAGTTTTAATTAGCTAATAATCATCACACGTTATCACCACTTTCGTAGTTAGGTCCATTATCCAGCGACCTACCATGAAAAATAAAGACTTTAACTTTTGAAATTTATTTAGAGACTAGTGGGAGAACCGTTTTAAAGTCAGAGGTCAACGATTCGTAGCATTTGCGAATATTTAGTAGTAGATAGTAACGGTGAAGGAAACATCATAATGTGAACCTGGACATTGAAGAAGGTTCGTAACCCTTGTAAAACGGGTGTAGTCTCCAATCCGCTTTAACCCATTGTGGTAGAATTTGACTTAAATTCTTTCCTTAGAAGAGACCAACGCCCCAGAAAAGGGCGTATAATCGCATCGCTTATATCTATATAATTATAGTAAAATATAAGTTACAGTTATTAAATGAAATTCTCAGTCAGTAATTATTTATATTATAAAAGCAGAGTGTATGCAGTAAGAATGGAACCAAAACAGAATATAGGATATAATTCTAAATCTTTCCAAAAGCAATGAAGAAAGAATTATTTGAACGCTCAAAGTATTCCTCGAAGCGTAAACAAGCTGGATTTAGGATTACAGATAAGTGGGACATAAAGAGGTCGTCGATAGAGCAGCCACGACATCGCTTTGTACAAGGTTCACTTGACAATGTGTAACAAGTTGTTATTGTAGTAGATGACATTACATTACATGTGTATTGAGTTTGAAAATGTGTTATCGCAAGCATTTCTCCGAAGTTTTGGATAAATCATTTATCTTTAGGTTTTTGAACATCGTAGAAAATTAGCTTTTTTCGACAAAATTGAATTGATTGTTCAAAATGCCCTAAATGCGGACAGGGGGACTTTTATACGGCTGCGATAGTAAAATGGGCTAGGTTGAAGTCGGCCCTTGGGTCTTCTTGTCACTCCATACATTTTTCGGACACGGTCCAACTCCTTTAATAAACAAACGTATTTATTAGGAATGAGAAAATAATGGATAAAACGTCTTAATGATAATTTGCCATAAGGAAGTTTCGGTCAGAAATAGCTTTATTTGCAAAAAAATATTCTGATTTGCATTTTATTTTGTCGAGACATGTCGTTTATTTCGTAGCAGTAGAGCACCTTATGAAAGAGTTGGTCCAGGGAAGTATTGCCACCTTACCTATTTCTGCCGCCAAGCAGTAGCGTAAGCATTACTGCGTTCCGGTTTCGAAGGGTTTAAGGGTACTGGTGAAATCACAGGCACGTGGGACTTGTTAACATTGTCTCACGGTATCGGGCACAGTGGCAGTGCCCCTCAGATCTTTGTGATTTAAAGCTTCGCATGGTACTGCAACTGTTATGGATAGGCGTGTCGCGACTCGTTCGTCCCGTCACTAAGTGTTTATAAAAAAAAATGTCGGCAGTCGCCAACGTCATTTTTGTTCTTGTTGCATATACATAAAGCGTTTTCTGATAAGCTCAAGCCGATTTCGCGTCGTTAAATAAGCTCCCTTAGATAACGATGAGAACTATTTTATAGCCCATAAGGTCTAACTCTCAAAGCATGGAA